GACGTTGCGCGGGGGCGCGAGAGAGACAGAGCGACGGGACAACCCTGCTCGGAATCGCTCGGCTGCCGCTGCTCTGCTTCGCTCTCCGGAAATTATCCCGCGGTCTTTTCTCTTCCCTTCAGGAGGCGGCTGGAGGCCCAGGAGGTCGGACAGACAGGAAGACGGACGGAGAGACGGACTGACGGACACGGACAGACTGGCAGACAGACTGGCAGACAGACTGGCAGACGGCAGCGGCGCCGCTCCTTGAGCCGCGACAATGAAAAGCTTGGCACACCGTTGCTTACCTCATTTGCATAAGTGCAACAAAGAGGAAACAAAAAAGTCGGCATTATTCGTCGGCTTATTGCGGTTCACTGTCAGGAGAGGCGTGAGGGCGGAGGAGGGGTCGGGGGTAGAGGGGGTGGGTGGGGTGGAGGGGGGGGGGTGAGGGGTGGGGTAGGGGTGGGGTAGAGGGGGTGGTCGGAGGCGGCGTCGCGAGACGGGACGTCGCGAAGGCGCCCGTCTCCCCTCGAAACCTTAAGCAAATAATTCTCCGAATTTACACGTTCGTGAATATCACCGCCACCGCCGCTCCTTCGTCTCCCGCTCGCCAGTAAGTCTCATCCCGTCTCTCTCGCACCCCTACGGAGCGACGCATGAGTGGGAGCGAGAGAGAGAGAGACTGTTCGGAGTAAAGCCGTTGCAGTGCCGCCGGGAGGACTAGGCGGGCGAAGCCCGCCAAGCGGGGACGCACCCCAGACATTTTCGTCGCTCTGCCTCTCGCACACCTGTGCGGGAAGCCCCGTGAGTGCGAGAGAGACACAGCGACGAAGACGACTCCCGGAATCGGTCTGCGGAGAGCGCGCGTCTCGGAACGAGCCCGATCAAGCAAGCCCCCGCATGAAAAATCCAATCACGGCGACAGACAGACAGGCGGGCGGGCGGTCCAGTATCGGCGCCCCTCACCTGTGTAACGAGAGGAGGAGGGAGGAGATGATGAGGGATGGCGCGACCGCCTCATAGCGGAATCGTTTAGTATTCATAAGATGATAGGCTACGCACTTTCAAAGTAATAAAGGACGGCCGCAAGTTGCCGAAGGAGAGAAGTTTCTCTTTTATAGACGAGATATTGACGGGCGGCACATCCCGCGTCCGCTGCCGGCGACAGTGCATCGAGTGGCGTGGCAAGCCGTGGCAAGCCCGATCAAAGCGGCGGCAAAAAGCGTCGCCGTCAGCTCGCTGTCTCTCTCACACCCCTACGGAGCGCCCCACGCGTGCGACAGAGACAGAGCGACGGAGACCAAGCGGGAATCGTCCCAGGACCGTGCTTCTCCGGCCGAAGTTGCAGCAGATCCGCGTTATCTCCAAATTATTTCGCGAGTTCCCGTCGACTGCTTCTCGTTCCGCGGGTGATTTCGCCCTCCGCGGCGCGCGCGCTCGGCGCAATCATACGCGCTCAAATTTTAAAATTCAATCGGGAAGTGAGAGAGCGAGCCCTGGCCGCGCCGTGGCCGTGCCGTGGCGTGGCCCGGCCGGTCCATTGCGAGCCGCGCCGCCGCGCCCCGCCGTCTCCGCGGCACTGCAAGCAAGCAAGTGGTTCGGCGTTCGCTCGCGAAGGCAAAGCCACCGCCATGAAGCCCAACAGCGCTCCGTCTCTCTCGCACCTCCACGCCGACCCCCGCGAGTGCGAGAGAGACGGAGCGACGCGGATGGGGCGGGGCGGGGCGTGGCGGGGCGCCCCGAAGTGCGGCGGAGGCTCAGCGCGGCTCAGGGCGCGGCGGCGGCGGTCTTGGAGGCGCGGCGCGCGGCGGTACAACGCGAAACACGGCGGGGGATTCATCGAGAAAGCGCATGCAGCAGAACAAAAATAAGTTATTCACCTCATGGAAGGCAGATTTGGCGGAGCGCGTAGCTACGCGTCGGAATCCTACAGCACCATGTGCGATGTGCCTCGCGCCCTGAGCCGAGCCGAGCCGAGCCGAGCCGGGCCGCACCTCAATACTTTTCCCTTCCTTTCCTTTCAGAGCGCGGCGAGGTTCCGCGGCGAGGTTCCGCCCGCACAGGTGGAGTGTCTGTCCGTAGAATAAAGCAAACTGCGGCTTGCCTTCTTCGCGCGCGTAGCTTTGCCGCTCCTCCTTATGCGAACACCATGTTTTTTTGCTCTACCGCGGGGGGGCCGGCCGGTATTCGAACCCGGGACACGCGCCCCGACCCACCCCGCGCACCAGCACTACTTGTGCGAGCAAGTGACGGGCGCGGCGCGCCGTGCCGCCGCCACTGCCGCAGTGGCGCGCCATTACATGACGGCAACAAGATTCCAACAAATATTTCGCTACCGCCGCCGCAATTTATGGCCGAACTAAGTTGGGCGCGGAAGAACATCAGAAGGGCCGTGCCACTCGAGGCGGTGGAGGGGGAGTGGAGGGGGCGGGGGAGTGCGGCCCCCACCTGCCGCGCGGGGCGATACGGCGGCCTGCGTCCGCGAGGGCCCGCGGGGTCACGCCCAGAGAGGACGCCCACGTCGGCGGCCGCCCCGCACAGTGGACCAGAAGACCGGTGGAGGCGGTCAAAATCCTGGACGCGTTTGGAGCTCCAGAGTCGCTAAGTGAGACTTCAACCAAACGTATGACTCCACCAATGAATTGCTCTCCGAACGAGGAATCCATTGACGGAGTCCCACGTTCGGTTCAAGTCCCATTTAGCGACTGTGGAGCTCAGAAGGCATCTCGAGTTTTGGCCGCCGGCGCCGGTCTTTTGGCCCCCGGCGCGGGGTCCGTGTTCCCGGAGACGTCCTGCAGCGGCTGCTCCAGCTCCAGGTGGGCTTTATCGGGGTGCCGCACCGCCCCGGGGGCTCGGGGCTCGGCGATGCCTCGGCGATGCCGGAGGTGGGCGAGGACGCTGCCCGCGGAAGCCTCATCCCCGCCTCGGCGCTGACATCACGTTCGGGGCGTGTTTGTCCGGGGAGGGCGCCCTGCCGGCGGGGCTCGGCGGGGCCGCGCGCCGACCTAAGGGCTTTACCCGCTTTGCTTCGCTTTGCTTCGCTTTGCCAAGCAGAGCGCGGCCGCAGCGCGCCCTGGCGGCAGACCACCCAAACACAAGCCGGACTGACAACACCGCCACAGATCCGCGCCGCGGAACGGATCGGCGGCGATTCGAACCGGCGAACCGGCGGACGGACGGCAAGGCAGCACCTCGTCAAAACCTTGTCAAAACCGGCGCCGCGCCGAACTCGCTGTTATTCCAACAGAAACTCAATTAACCCTTCCGCCCGAGGCGCACCGCCGCCGCCCCCGCGTCCAGCCAGCACCAACACGGAAAAAAGACAACAAAAAACAAAAGAAAACAAAAAACGACGAGCGGAGCCTTGGCGGCAACATTTAAAAAAAATAGCACTGAAGTTGCGGACCCCCGTTCGATGGCTCCAGTGGCCGGTGGGACTGCAGTGGGTCGCGGGGCAGTCAGGTGACTGGGCGGCGCGGCGGCGCCCGCACTGTATTTCGTTCGCGCCGCTCCGACAGTGCTCGATCCATCAACCACCAGACCCCCTCTTCCCGTCCCAAGGGCAACAGCGCCCAAAAAGTTGGGCAAGAATTCGGTAGCTACGTACCTACTCTTCCAAACTTTGCGCGAAATTCATTCGAGTTCTTCCCCAAAATTTATCAACATTGGAGTTTGAAGTAAAAATGCGCTGGTTTTCCGCAACATGTGCGAAAGTTTGGCTTTGAACTTATCACTTACTTAACGACTGTACTTCAGCTCATGAGCTGTTCTCCCGCAAATTTCGAAAAGTAAACAAAAATTGGAAACCGCAACTAAAAGTTATTCCGCTCTCCTTCCCGCACTCTTACTCCCACACGCAAGAAAGTTGGCGCTGCGGCCGACTTTTATCCCCGCGGACCTCTCTCTCTCTCTCTCTCTCTCTCTCTCTCTCTCTCTCTCTCTCTCTCTCTCTCTCTCTCTCTCCCTCTCTCTCTCTCTCTCAAACGGCGCGACGAGACGAGCCTGCTAAAACGGATTTGGCGCAACTTAACGCGCGGCAGTATATCACGGGGCCGCTTGGCCCTCGGCGTGGCCGGCCGGACCCCACTGCTGCCTTTTCATCTTGGTGGCCGCGAGTTAACGGAATTTACGATTTCCAGGTGAGAGCAGCAAGCGGTCAAGGCCAATGATTTACGAGGCCGGTTTGAGAGGGGGAGAGGGAGGGGGCTGGAGGGTGGCTTCACGGCGCCCCATGCAGGGCTAGAAGGCTGATTCCGAACAAGTGGCTTCGTCGTTTCGTCTCTATCGCACCTCAACAGCAGGACGCTTGAGTGCGAGAGAGACAGAGCGACTAAACGCTGTTCGGAGTCGGCCTGAAGGGCCCCGCCAGCGTCCCGCGGGGGCGTACCCACCCGGCCAGTGGTGCTGGCTGGGCCCGCCTAGGCCCGCCGGACCGACCCCCACTCCACCCCCACTCATCCCCGGCGTAAACTTGGCCGGAGAAAATAAAGGAGGCAGCACCGCCCAAAAGAGAGAGAGAGAGAGAGAGAGAGAGAGAGAGAGAGAGAGAGAGAGAGAGAGAGAGAGAGAGAGAGAGAGAGAGAGAGAGAGAGAGAGAGAGAGAGAGAGAGAGAGAGACGGGCAGGAAGAAAGAAAAAATTCACGCACTTCCGCAAAGGCATCCTGCATCAGGAACCAATTTATTCGGCGGAGCGGCGCAGCGCGAAACAGGGGGAAGGAAGGGCGGCGGGCCGCGCTCTGTCTCTCTCGCACTCGCGGGCCGGCCCCCAGGCGGGGGTGCGAGAGAGACATCTCTGCAGGGAGGGACCAGGGAAGGGCGTAATGGATTCTTTCTTCGTGTGACAATCATAATCCTCGGCGTCAACCGGGCGGCACCGGCAGGGATCGCCGCGTCGCGCCGCGTCGCCGGGGGATACAACATGACAGCCAGGCCCGGAGGGTGGGGGAAGGAGAGCCTCGTAGCACAAAATGGCTCGTTTTCGTCGTCGGCAACGTGAAACGTTGAAAAAGCGACTCACGGCGTTGCTGTGTGTCTGGTCCGTCTTGAGCTCCCGGTGGTTCGAGAACTGGACGTAGACGGCGCGGCCGCGGAGCTGCGCCACGCAGGTCGTGAAGTACTGCACCATGGTGGAGGCGGCCGTCTCGTCGGCCATCTCGAGGAACGCCTGCAAAACAAACAAGAAAAAAATTATTATAATTGTTGCTGTTTAAAGTTGAAAGTTGGGAACATCAAAACAACAACATCCAAAACAACGTTGACGACGAAGGCGAACAACGCGCACGTCTGTGTGTGTGTGTGTGTGTGTGTGAAACGGTGATGACATGAGCGGAGCGCGGCAGGACGCGGCGGCGGGCACAGCGACACAGAGGCAAGTGAGTGTCGGCACAAAAGCGCCGCGCTCGGATGCAAAAGGATTTAATGGCCCCGTTTGATAGCAACAACAACACAGAAGCGACGACACGGACGTTGACATTCCAAACTTGGGGGCAAAACCTAATGAAAGGACCGCACACAAGCGAGCCAGCCAGCCAGCCATCCACACTGAAATACGGCCAATTATCCCGGCCATAGGCGATTGGTTGTGACACCACGGGGCAGGGGGAGGCAGGTTTCAGGTGAGCGCACGTGTGTGTGTGTATGTGTGCGCGTGCGTGTGTCCACCGCGGCGCCGCAATACGACAGAGAATAAATATGGCGGAGGGGCGAAGCGAAATCCAAATACATAATCAAGGGGAAGCGTATCGAATCGCTGCTCCTCCCCTCGCCCTTTTCCTCCGATCCCGTTCCGAGAGTCGCCTTCGTCGCTCCGTCTCTCTCGCACCCACACGGGGCGCCGCACGAGTGCGAGAGAGACAGACAGACGGACGGCTCCCAGTCTGCTGAGCATCCGCCGGTTCCAGCGCCGCCGCGGGATGAATCTCGGCGAAACAACAACAGTGTGGTGGCGCGCCGTAGCGGTGCGAGGGGCGAAGCGGATCCCCATGAGTGCGAGAGAGAGCGACGAAAACGACTCTCGGAATCAGTCTGCGGCAGCGGAAGTCGACGCCACACTCAGAGAAAACCACGGCTAACTGGTACGAGAAAAGTCCGGTGGTGGTATCGAAAAAGGAGAGCGGTGCGTGCACACCGTGACGCAACGTGGGAAACCGAACGTCGGCATCCCGCTTTCGCGTACAGTCACGCGACGCAGTTTGTTCTCGCCTACGACGAAAAAAAGGACGAGTAAAGAGCGACACGCGAGAAGCGTGCCGACGCGAGGCGCGTGTGTCGGGGACAAATATTTGAACGGCAAGAGAGAGTGCGGCACGGCGACGAAGAGAGCAATCTCAAATCTGAGCACGGCGGGCGACGCGCGGCACGCCAAGCAACGCCACGGCGCGGCTTTGCAGAGGGAAAGAGACGGGCAGAAAAAGGACAAGGACACACACACACACACACACACGCCCAGGCCGCATTCAATGCGCCGGGCCCGGGGCACACAATAATTCTATCTCAAATCCACCGGGGCTCGGCAACTCTGTTGGAAAGCCGTGCAGCCGGAAGTGGGCAACTCGGGGCTGCTGCTGCTGCCGGTGCGGGGCCCTCGGCGGGCAGGGCGCATCGGGGGGCTCCATCGCCAGGCCCGGCCAGGCCCGAGCGGCGACATGAAAGGCCATCGAATAAAACAACGGAGTGCAGACACAGGGCCTAATTAGGGAGCGAGCCACGCCACGCAACGCCACGGCCTGTCACACAATGCACCGGCAGAGCGACGCGGAGCGAACAGCATCCAACCCATCCCACGGCATCGGCTCCACCGACGGCCTTTTGTTTTTGTCGCGAACACAAAACGCACGCATCGACTGCACCGCACCGTCTGCCGCGCCCAATATCGGCCAGAGAATGATATCGCTCTGCGCGACCGGCTCGACCAGCAGACAGAGTCGTTTTCGTCGCTCTGTCTCTCTCGCACTCGTGGCCGCCCCGTTTAGGTGCGAGAGAGACGGAGAGAGGGACACTCCGTCGGAATCAGTTTGCTGCCAGCCGGCCGGAACGGCGTGGAAGAGGTCGCGAAGTTGGAGTTGCGCGTAACGCGTTGGGACGGCAACGCATTGCGAGGCCCCCGAACGCCGTGGGGGTAGGCAACGCGAGCACTCGGCAGTCGGGCGGGCTGGCTGCACTCCGGGCGCCTCGAGGTAGGCAACGCGAGCACTCGGCAGTCAGGCGGGCTGGCTGCACTCCGGGCGCCTCGAGGTAGGCAACGCGAGCACTCGGCAGTCGGGCGGGCTGGCTGCACTCCGGGCGCCTCGAGGTAGGCAACGCGAGCACTCGGCAGTCAGGCGGGCTGGCTGCACTCCGGGCGCCTCGAGGTAGGCAACGCGAGCACTCGGCAGTCGGGCGGGCTGGCTGCACTCCGGGCGCCTCGAGGTAGGCAACGCGAGCACTCGGCAGTCAGGCGGGCTGGCTGCACTCCGGGCGCCTCGAGGTAGGCAACGCGAGCACTCGGCAGTCGGGCGGGCTGGCTGCACTCCGGGCGCCTCGAGGTAGGCAACGCGAGCACTCGGCAGTCGGGCGGGCTGGCTGCACTCCGGGCGCCTCGAGGTAGGCAACGCGAGCACTCGGCAGTCGGGCGGGCTGGCTGCACTCCGGGCGCCTCGAGGTAGGCAACGCGAGCACTCGGCAGTCGGGCGGGCTGGCTGCACTCCGGGCGCCTCGAGGTAGGCAACGCGAGCACTCGGCAGTCGGGCGGGCTGGCTGCACTCCGGGCGCCTCGAGGTAGGCAACGCGAGCACTCGGCAGTCGGGCGGGCTGGCTGCACTCCGGGCGCCTCGAGGTAGGCAACGCGAGCACTCGGCAGTCGGGCGGGCGATGGACGAAATATGAGGTCAAAATTGGTCTCTCCTCCGTGGAATGCGGAGAGCTTCACGACGCGGGGAGACACCAGTGCTCATGGCCAGGCGATGGTCGGAATCGAAAGGAAGCGGTGGCCAAATCTCTGCAGCCCGGCACGCCTCTCCTGTAACCACAGCCAGTATCCGAGCTCCAACCCTGGAGGAGTGTGAGTGTGTTTGAGTGTGCGTGCGTGCGTGCGCGTGTGTGTGGAATAGCGGTGAGAATGGATTTTGGATGGGTAAAAGAAGGCCGAGGGGTTGAAAAAAAAAAGAGAGAGGCGAGGGCGCAGAGAGAAAAGGGGGAAGAGGACCTAGCGACGCTCAAATCACAATAGCTCTGTGCGAACAGCAGCAAGGAAGAAGGCCAGACACCGCACGGGGATGAGGTTCGGCCGAGGTGAGAGGGGGAGGGGGAATCGAGGTGGGCAAACAGCCTGCGATCCCATTTCCCTCCCCTCCCCGGTCCATCAGAGGGCGTCCGCTTCATCTCACGGACAGTTCCGATTAGTTTTTACCGGCAGTAGTGTCCATAAGGGCGGCGGAGAGAGAGGGGAGGGGGGGGGGGGCTAATCGGCTCAGCAAACAGCGCCGCCGCCAAATGTGACGGATTAAGACCGGGGGACACATCGGGAGCTTCCAGAAGAAAAGTGGCAAAGAAGGCGGAAAGAAGGACGGGGGAGCGACGGGCCGTCGTTCCTGCGGTCACTGCTTAGTCGCGCTGTCTCCCTCGCACTCAGGGGATTCCCGAACGTGTGCGAGAGAGACAGAGCGACGAGGGCACCGTTCGGGAGCAGCCTGACGGACGGAGAGACACGTGTGGCGCCTGACACTCTGAGTCCAGCGGCAGCGGTGCGGTGCCGAGGCCGGCCTAGTCCGCGTCGAGTTTCATTTGCCGTTTCTTCGCCAATTTCGCCTTTCGAGCTGCAGCGGGGGCCTCTCGACCGGGCGGATGGAAATCAAGGCACACACGCCGGGGCTCCTCTCAAAGCGTGCCGACTCGTTATTCGACTGGCCTAGTGGCCCGGCAGGCACAGTCGAGATTTCGAGAGTCGTTTTCGTCGCTTTCTCTCGCGCACCTGTACGGGACGCCCGATGAGTGTGAGAGAGACAGAGCGACGAAAATGGCTCTCGGAAACAGTCCGCAGAGTAGGCCTCCACCGCCGTCCCTCTTCGGGGAGGCCGTTTCACCGTGCCTCATCGCCACACTCTCTCATTTGCATCGCCAAGAACGCACCGGAAGACCGCGGAGGCCACGACCGGGGCACGATGGAGCACCCTGTGCTTGGAAAGGAGTCCAACGGTACCGCCATGCGTCTCAATGGAGTTCGTTTGGCGGACAGAGTGGCCAGTGCGCCCGGAGCTACGACCACCTACACTGTCTGCAGGCCGAGGGGCGTCGGGCGGGGCGGAGGGTAAGCCCCGCGGCGGGCTGGCTGGCCGGGCTGGCCGGGCGGTGCGCGATGCCCGCCCTGATCCCCCAAAGAAAACAGTCCGCCGGACGGCCGAATCGGCTGCCAGAGTCGCTGGCGGGCTGCCCTCACTCTCCGTCGCACTCACGGGGCGTGCCGCGGGGGTGCGAGAGAGAGAGCGCGACGACGAAGCACTCGACAGCCGGCAACACGGTGGCGGCCCGCCAAGGCCCGGCCGCGCAGCCAGGCGAGTGGAAGGGCCGCGTCGTCCCTCGCAGCGCGGCAGCCCCAGGGCAGCCAGCGGCCTCATTCCGAAGGAACGCCCGTCTCTCTCGCACCTGTGCGGGGCGCCACCTGAGTGCGACAGAAACAGCGACAAACGATCCGCCGGCATCAGGCGGCAGGACGGCGACGATCCGGCGCAAAAATCGGAGCGGACCCGGAGCGAGCGGTGCGGAACGGCGATTTCGCCTGATGCCGGAGGGTCGTTTCGTCACTCCGTCTCCGTCGCACTCGCGCGGCCTTGCCTGCAGGTGCAACGGAGACAGACGAACCTTCGGAATCAACCGGAGCGCGAGCCTCCCTCCGGAGGGGCGGCAGCACGGCGGCGCGGCTAGTCCGTCCCCGGAATGCGGGGCGGGGCGGGGCGGGCCGCGATGCCGGCATTTTTCACGGCATACCGGACACGGCGCGCCGAAGGGCCCACGAAGGGCCGAAGGAGCCGCAGCAGCCGGAGGGTCCAAACACAAAAGAGCAACAATGCGGCCGGGCCTCGCGGAGCGTCGCGGACCTCCAAGACGCCAAGCCGGGCCGGGGATGATGGCCCGCGGCCCCGCCACCAGTGTGGGCCCGGCCGCCACCGCCCTCAGCCCTGCGCCCCGCGC